AGAAGAAACCATGAGGGGAGGGGAGGGGAGGGGAGGGGAGGAGGGAGGAGGGAGGAGGAGGTCGCCGGAGAGGAGGAGGAGGTCACCGGAGAGGAGAAGTATGGTGGAGGAGAGAAGGGAAGATGAAATGAAGAGAGGAGGAGAGGACCAGCCATATATACGGCATACTAATGGCGCACCGCGGGCAGGTGCGCCATTAGTAATTTTTTTATTTTTTTGATTTATTTTGAATTTTGAAGGCGGGAAGATACTAATGGCGCCATTGGTAAGTTTGAATTTTTTTGATTTTTTTGCCTCTCTAGATCTTAAAAGCCCCGTATCTTTTTTTCTGTTAGGTTTTTGAGGATTTTGAAAATGTTTAACGGGTTCCCCCGGTTAAATTTGGATGTAACTTTTCGAGTAGATGATTTTTCATATAAAAAACTTTTTCATCCGAGTTAGTATGCAAAAGTTATGCCCATTTTTACAAATTCTCGCGAGATTTTGCAAATGAAGTCAAAATTCATATTTGCAAATTTTCCCAACAACTAGGCCACATATCACATGGGAAACTTATTTTCTTTTATTTTTTTTACATTTTTATCATTTTATTTTATTTTTTTTAAAACTGAAAAGGCGATCCACAGGGGGGGTGCATTCGGTGGAAGTGGTGGCCAAGGTTACTAATGGCGCACCGTGGCATGGTGCGCCATTACTAGTTTAACTAGTAATGGCGCACCACACCCACGGTGCGCCATTAGTAGTTTTGAAAAAAATTCAAAAAAAAGTTTTAAATTTTTTTTACTAATGGCGCACCGTGGGAGTGGTGCGCCATTACTGGTTCAACTAGTAATGGCGCACCACTCCCACGGTGCGCCATTAGTAGTTTTGAACAAAATTTTTAAAAAAATTATTTTTACTAATGGCGCACCGTGGATGTGGTGCGCCATTAGTATTTGGACACTGATGGCGCACCAACACATGGTGCGCCATTAGTATATAGTAATGGCGCACCAACACATGGTGCGCCATTAGTATATAGTAATGGCGCACCACATGTCTGGTGCGCCATTAGTGTCAATTTCATCTATAGCCCTTTTCCTAGTAGTGTTTCAACGGCTTCACAAATGTTTGCCACTTTGGATAGATGCCATCCGCAAGATAGTAGCCACGGTTGTATGTATGGCCATTAGCTTCAAACTGCACCGGTGGCAGTTCACCATTTGTAATCTTACTCATCAGTGGTGACCGGTTGACAACATTGATGTCATTCAAAGATCCAAGCATTCCAAAAAAGCATGCCAAATCCAAGTCTCGTAACCGGCCACCGCTTCAAGGATTATAGTGGAACCCTTTTTTTGTCAGTCGAATTGTCCATGCCATGCCTTTGGACAATTCTTCCAACTCCAATGCATGCAATCTATTGAGCCGAGCATACATAGGAACCCGCGAGCTTTGTTCATCTCCAATAGCCTTGCGACATCTTCAGCATTGGGAGTTCTCAAGTACTCTGGGCCAAACACTTGCACAATTCCGACTGCAAGCGCTTGACACACATGATGGCTTGGCTCTCACCCATGGCCAAGTGATCATCAACTAGATCAGCGGGGATACCGTATGCCAACATACGCAAAGCAGCTGTCACCTTCTGAAAGGTGCTATGCCCGAGCTCTCCGGCGGCACTCCTCCTCTGCTAAAAAAATCGGTCATGGCTCTCTAGTTTCTCTGCAATGCGCCTAAACAACTCGGTGCTCATCCTAAAGTGGCGACGAAAGTATGACTCGGGGTATGTGGGATTCCCCACAAAACAGTGCCTCATCAATCTGTTGTGGGCATCAATCCTATCCCTCCAAATTTTCTGCCGACCCATAACCGAACCACCGTGCTTCGGTTTTTTATTGATGTGCATAGCTAGGATCATTGCAAGATCTTCCTCCTCTTCCATATCAAATTCTTCTTCAGAAGAGTCTTAGCCTGAACTCATCTAAAATGTTCAAAACTAGGCTATAAACAACATGCACCAAATTTTATGCAAAAATGTGGAAGTTGGAAGCAATACATACCTTGCGGGCCTTTTGTCGAACACCTTGCAGGCGCCAAAGCGGCGGTGGGCGGCCGGGCGCTGTTCGTCAGAGATTGCCGCGCGTGACGGCCGGCGCTGACTAGAGAGAGAGGGACGAAGCCGCGGCCACGCGGGAAGAGACCGGGGAAGCGTCGGATCGGTCGCCATGAAAAATGAGGTGGTGCGGGACGGCGGCGGCGGCGCGGCCGGGAGGGTAGGTGGAGTTGCGAGCGAGCGCTCAAGAGTCCAGCGCTCGGGAGTGGGCGCGGCAAATAAGTGCCGCGCAATGGTGTTTCCGCCCGTGCGCTGAATTACATATGCCGCGCACGCGGTTTTTGCGCGTCCGCTGGAGCGACAGGAATGATAGCGCGCGCGCTAAAACCACTACTTTTTCCGTGCGGCGTATTTATAGCACGCCTATTGAAGATGCTCTTAAAATAGGTTTAGGGAGGGAGCAGGGGCGAGCCATTCTGTCATGGGGCATCGTGCAACTACAAAAGCTGATGGGATGACAACTTGGTGGGAAAGAGGGAGGAGTCGACGCTATCCGTGAAGCCTCGAGCATATGCAGGAGAAGCTGTGGGGCCCGCGTCTATATTTTTTATCAAAGCCTGCGGCTGTTTGTGGCTGTGATGAAATGAAAAGGCTGAGAAAAAATTTCGTCTACTTGTTTGATGGCCTAGAAGCAAGTACAATAGCATGAGATAAGCATATGCTATAAGAAATAGAATAATATATTTTTATTTAGTTGGAAGAAAAAGA